ACCTCCATTTCTTGAAAAACAGTCTGAAGGGAAAAAAGCAAGCACACATATTGCTATACTGTACCCTGTTGGAAGAAAACCACAAAATTAGCTTGCTATGGAAAATTAATTTGAGTGAATTCAAATTAAGATATACTTTGAATGATGTCCATTATAGCAGTGGCTCAATTTTTTTGTGGCTTGAAATTTTTAAAAGTAATTTTTCTGGAAATTTTGGCGAAGTATCCAAATCTTCAGGCTTTGTCCAGATATTTTTTTCCGTCTGTAGTGCCTATGAGTTGAATCTTGTGCACAAGCTTCTTGTGTATTTCGGGCCCCACTGTACAGGTCACTGCTATAATGTACGTGGATATCTTCACCCTGAAACTGGCTACAGAACAATCGATATTTTAAAATATTGACTGAATGAAAAGAAAAGTAGTTTTCCCAATAACTCTCACTGACACTGTCAAATTTTTTCAAACTTTCGAGAGATACACCTGACCTTGCGGGATGGAGTAGAAAGTTTAAACCATAAAAAACGGCGGAAGTGTTTCGCTGGTTCTGTGAGGAGGGGTGGGTCGCCGAGCCCGAGGCGCAGGAAGAGAATATGGTCCATTATTACAAGCTCAGAAAGGAACTCAGTTTATAGGAGTAAAACACGTATGTGCGACACAAAGAGCCCAGGGGGTCTCTTCACCCCCTTCCGCGGCGCAACAATATGATTTAGCCAATTCTGTCACTCCTGCTAACGATGGTGCCGGGAAGTCGCCAACAACAACCAGCATCGGGAATCGTAACCCGTTGAACCCCTTAGTTTGCACCCGCAGGCCAACTGCGGCACTTCGCTCACCTCCCGACGGTTCCTGGCTGAGGAACTTGTGCACATTTCGGGTTTCGTTCTCGGATAAACTCCGAGAAAAGGCTCTCCTTGAATCTGATTTCTAATATGTACTGTACTTACTTCTCGTTGGCTACCGTTATATACCGGACAAAAACCTTTTCTCAATAAATGAAACCGTGCGGGGATTTCATGCCCACATTTCTCTGCATTCCGATATAAATCTATTTACTGCTCATGACCACACTTCATAACAAATTGAATTCAGCAGAAAACTCGCGAACATTCTGGGTTTCATTCCAAGATAAACTTGTATTAACAACTTTCATCGAATCTTCTTGCTATAACTTCTTTCTCGTTGTCGACCATTAAGACCGACAAATTTATTTTGCATTAAAAATGTAAGCTCTTTTGGAGTTGAAACAATCGAAATCGAGAATAAATACATACCAAAAATTTCCTTTTTTCCTGGAATCGTCAAAACATTTTTGATGATTCCTCGAATTAAAGAAAATGGATATTTTTGGGTTCCCTTTTAGGATCGACTCATCGTAGGATATGCTTACAATTATGCATCTGATCGGCAGGAGTCCATTCTTGCCGACTGCAGGACAAGCTTTCTCTTTTTGAAAAAATCGAAAACTTGGAAAATAAATTAATTTTGCTCATTCCTCTGAAGGGAGATTAAAAACTAAAGGGATAACGTTGACGCCAACGAGCAGAGTAAGAAATGGTACAATTTATTTCATGGGCGATTGTAAAAAAGCCTCTTAGTGATGAAAACGCTTTCAATCGGCGTGGATGGCTGGCATTTTTTACGTTAAAAACGTCGCGATTAGTATTCACCGGTGAATGAACTTGTTGGGCTGGGAAAAGAAATCTGAGAAATTCCCACAAGGGGGAAAACTGGAGCATGCATGCCCAATCAAAGTGATCGATGATTGAATAGGATAGATCGGGGAGGATCTTCGATAACTCGAAAAAATTTTGATCAAAGTGAATAGGACATATGCCGAAAGAAATTTTTATAGCTCGCCTTGAAATTGAATTCCACGAGAGCTGGCTTGTCGGAAATCATACGGACAGCAGCTAATTTTCTTGATGCGCCGAAAAAAAAGCCTGAATAAAAGAAGGGAGAAGAATTTCGCCCCGTAAGCGATTATTTGATCCGGTACTGCGTGCGCATGGGAAGCAAAAACGTGCCAAACCTGCCACGAGGTGAACTGAGGGGTGAGATGATTTTTTTTTTCGTCCAAAAACTTATGTCTAAGCGTGGTCCCACTGGGAGACTCTTCTTTCAATGAAACTCAATGAAAAGGAGCGAGGTGGATGTGTTTGAAACTCAGCGTGCTCGGTGCTTTCTCCTCGAACACCCTTGTTCATTCGGCTAATCTATGCGGAACTTCCTTTCATCGCCGGAACTGTTGCTATGTTTCTCACACTCGTCATTTCGTTCGGAAACAAGTACCAGCGTCTCAAGTGATTCGCAGGGTTACTGGGATTGGAATTTCCGTCGATATGCTGAGGAAAAAATATCGATCCCATGATCTTTTCATCTTGTCAAAATACACTTCATCAACGGTTTTTTTTTCTTCTTTCGATCAGGGTTAGACGCATTATTCAGACGACTGTGGGAAATTGCGACGAATTCGCATTTCATCCTGCTCCTTGCGCAGCAGCAGAATCTTGAATGCTTTGAAAGCATCAATGCAATTCTGAGCTACTTTTTCAAAATAATCTTCTTTTAATCGAGACAGCAATTTCTTCTTAGCAAAACTTGGAGCGATTGATTTTTAATGAACTTACCGCGGGTATTCTTACGAGGGATGGTTCATAAGTTATTTTAATGGCTGTACCGTGAAGTTAACTGGTTTAGTAACTTTAGTGAATTTCACCCAAGCTACCCAAGTTTGAAAGCCAGAATACAGTCAACCCCCGTCTAACGGACTTTATTTGTGCAAGGGACGAGTCTGTTAGACGAAAAGTCCTTTACACAAATTCAATTACTTAAAAAATTAAAAATTTCAATTTTCAACACTAATTTTAAACAAAAAGAAGTCTGTTTGGCGGATTTTGTCTGTTGAGCGGGAGGAAAAACTGCTTGCAGAGCTGGTCTGTTTGGCGAAAATCCCTTACACGGGAGGTCTGTTAGGCGGGGGGCCACTGTACTGTATCGTCGTGGAATGAACTGCATTCTTAAATGAAGCCTATGCATCCACTTGTAAGCAATGTTGGATTTTCTCGCAATCCAATTTGAATGTAAGACAATCTTTCCATCTCGCACATTATTATTAAAAATATTTTTCAATTCTTTAAAAAGTTAGTTCCACCTAGAATGCATGCAAATTCACGAGACAGGCAAATGTGGCAAGTAAACCTCATTTTCGCGCAGCGTAAGCCTCACGTTCGCACTTGCAAGTCTCCGTGTTCTCTAATTTAAACCAGAGTGGACAAAAATGGCAGCCGTTATCGTGAACTGAGCAAAAATTAATGCGTAAAAACGACGTCCATCTCCGTTCATTCATCACAACTGCAAGAGAGGTATTGCACCGACAAAGCCCACGAGCTTACCTTTTGCACTTTTTGGATTCCCCAGATTCCATTTCAATGCCTGAACACGCTTCGATGTAATCGAGGACGAATATTTTGCGTGAGATGGTTAAACCATATTCGTAAAGTCGAAAAGAAGTTTTCGTGGAATGAAAAGGCTGAAAAGAGAACTTGGTTGTCAAATCGGTCGACAATTGATTTTGACATCTGCTCGTGAGTCTTCATTCAAAAACTACAACAAATAAAGCCTGCTGACCAGGAAAACATTGTCGACAATGTCGCGCATTGCAGAAAATAAGAAGAAAAAAAGGCAGAAAATAGGACGAGGACCTTGATAGGAAACGTCGCCAGAGAACCGTGACACGAGGGCGCTTAGCCAGCTAGGGGTTGGGTCACAATTTCCGTCCGACGTAAAAGGCGGGTATCGCACTGAAAGCCGGCTGGGAAAAAGCGGGCAGGATTGGCTCAGTGTGTCAGGGAACCTGTGCGCATCTCGATGACTGCGTTGCCCATTGGTTCCCCGGACTGCCAGGGTCAAATCACCCCCCGAAACCCCCCGTCTAACGGCAATCCCGGGCTTCGCACGCGGAGCAGAGGACATATTTTTCCCGCGGGTTCCAGCGAGCTGCGAAGGGTGGGAGCAAATCGAAATATGGGTTTTCTCCTGCCGGGGTTCATATACCAGTTTAAGGGGCATTTTACCCCTCATTCGCTGCTCAGCTGTCGTGAAGTGCAACAGCGTCGCAGTCTTCGGGATCTCAACACTTGGCTCATCATCAAGTGTCATGGTTCTCTCTTTGCCAGTGCTGACTTCAAAATTACGAGTCTAAATGCTCAAAATTCAGGTTTCGAAACCCCTTGGTTACGTGTCAAATCATCTAGGACTAAACATCAAGTGATAAAGGTAGCGAGTGCAACAGAACTCTAAGTGACTTCACCAAAACTTTAAGCGTTTTATTTTGTTGGCTTTATCGTTGAAAAAAAGCAGTTTTATCGGAAAGGGATCCTTTCTTTCTGACCAAAAGAAAATTGCGTGCCCAGAAAAGAAAAAAAATGCTGGTAATTCGAATAAAACACCGCTTTAATGCGAGACATGCCGAGCCAATATACTTGGCTGATCATTTTTGTCCAGGTGCTTCTTTTTTTAATGCAATATAGGTAGTTGCAGATATATCGCAGTTCAGAAAGAATACGTTGACCTCATTGCTTGAGGTATTGACTGAAATAATCAGAAAGGTAAAATTAAGTGCAGTCAAAATGAGTCAACGTTTCAATCTTACGTAGCCACTTAATTCAAGATTTTTTTAAGCTTTTGTCAACCTAAAGATAATTTTCTCAGAAGAGTATTGTTTTCTTGATTTTTTAAGCAACCAGCCTTCAATTGGTCTTCGTATGTATGCTTGTGGGTTTCATTTAGCGTTTCAATACTTGTCGATTTGCCGATTGATTCATTGCAAGGTCTCTTCGTTATTTTCCAAGTACGTACTGAAAGTCTCGAAACTTACGGTCTCGAAAATGTACTGCATGATGTGTTGAGTTAATAAATTATCAAAACTGGTCATAAAATGCTGTGATATTTCATACGATTTGCAGAAAAGACGCGCGAGAGTGTGAACGCCGATAATTGCCAATGGAGGGCAACATTGCCAAAGCGGATAAAAATCCCACGGAGGCCTGTGATTTTACACCAACCAGAGTTCCATTGGAACAATCGCCCAATTACGAGTCTGACGATGACGTCGACGTGTCTATGGATTCTGAGCCCAAGGAAGAGATCCTCGATGTGACGGATAACTACTCGCCATCTTTGCAAGATGCTGGCCACTGTCAGGACAACGATGAAATCCCGAATTCTCCCGATTCCATCACTTCCATTGACAGCTCCGCAGGCCCTTCCGTGCTTCACGCAAACAAATCTCAAGCCAAGCTTTCATTCTCGATTGACCGCATAATGGAGAATGACGACCCTCCAGCATCCCAGCTGTCTTCATCCCGGGAAGACAAGTGTGCACCAATCCCTGGGAACAAGGCCCCACCTACATTCTCGGGCCCGTCGTCATTTTCCACGGCTGCGGCGGCTGCAGCAGCAGCTGCCAACTTGATCCTGATGCGGGATGCAGCAGAGGGAGTCAACTCCTACAACCATCAAATCGAACCATGGCTGCGGCATTACATAAACCCAGCAACCGCCCCTTTCCTCCTGCGATGCTACAGCCAATTATCCATGAATCCGTACCTCACAGCAGGTCGAGCCCTGAGCGGGATCCTCCAGTCTGCCAATGTTTGGATGCCACAGTTCTCGAGGGAGAAATCATTTCGACCAATGGTTCTAACCCAAGCATCGATGAACAATGACAAAACAGAAACGCCGACTTGCGGTAGTGCAGTCGGGGCAAAAAATCTCGAACCAACTCTGCCGGCACCCATTCCAGGATTGATACCCAGCGAAAAAGTGAACCAAACTTACAAAGCTTCAGAAACTGAGCTGCCTGAACATCGAAAGTTTCCAGTCAATGAATCAAGCGAGCACCAGGAATTGCCGAAAAAGGAAAGCGCTCAGGGTTCCATCGGCACATCGTCAGGGATCCCCGTGCAAGCAAACCGAACGGGCAGAACATTTCCGTGTCCAGAGTGCGGAAAAATCTTCAATGCTCATTATAATCTGACGCGACACATGCCAGTGCATACAGGGGCTCGGCCATTCATCTGCAAAATTTGCGGAAAGGGTTTCCGTCAGGCCTCAACCCTCTGCAGGCACAAAATAATTCACACCCAAGAAAAGCCCCACGTTTGTCAAACCTGTGGCAAGGCTTTCAACCGGAGCTCGACACTGAACACGCACTTGAGGATTCATCAAAACTACAAGCCGTATAAGTGTGAAATTTGTGGCAAAGGTTTCCATCAAAAGGGGAACTTCAAGAACCACCGCCTGACGCATAGTGACAACAAGCAGTTCAAATGCTCCATTTGCAACAAAGCATTCCATCAAGTCTACAACTTGACTTTTCATATGCACACCCACAATGACCAAAAGCCTTTCACGTGCCCGCTGTGCAGCAAGGGATTCTGTCGCAATTTCGACTTGAAAAAACACATGCGGAAGTTGCATCAAACCCCGCTCTTTTCCTCGGTCGAAACTCGTCAACACGCTGCACCCGGAGAAGAGAATTCCTCAGGGATCAGCTTGATGACTTCCAATTCAAATTCTTTGGACACCATGTCAAGGTCAATGTCAGAGCCATCGACATCTGCCCTATATTGTGGCATGGGGCCTTCATTCCTGAACGTCAGTGCCTTGGCATCCTCACAGGATTCATCTCTGGCTTCAAAGCTGGTGCCACTCAGCAGATCATCAATCATGCATCCACCGTCAGCCACCTCATCGCTTTACCTCACTTCACCGTTCTTCAACCCCGGGCCCAAAACCAGCATTCAGCCTGTCGGCAGTGGCCAGTTACTCCAGGATGTTCCATTCCAGCCATTCCCAATTCAAAGTGTTGATGTCTGAGCAGAGTAGGTCAGTGCCAAGGAAGCCATTCCAACTGCTGATCAGTCCATCTCACAAGCTTAATGAAATGCGCTGTGATTCACATATCCCGCGAGATACCTTGATTAAAAACCCAGACTGCAGTGATTCTAATTAGCCCCCATACATTGCAAATGAAGCCAACATCAGTTATATTGAGTCAAGTACATGTAAAATGAAATACAGGATCTAGCATTTAAAAAAGGGGTATTATTGCGATTATTCCTCGATTCTGACTCCTGAATCCTGACGTTGGATTAGCAGTTGCCGAAGATTTTCTTTGCTCACTTGGGATCCACAGTACGTGAAATTGCTAAATTAGATTGAAATGCCCGTAAAACAAATTAGAAATGAATTGACCGCTTGCATGATTTTCGATGTACCAGACTGATTAATTTGACTGCTTCATACCGATGAACGGAAAACATCTTAAACCATGCAAAAGATTAAACAAAGCGTTTTTTTATTAAACTTTCCTTTAAAAATTTTTAACATCCGGAAAGAGAATCTTAGATGGTTTCAAAATAATATCTGCATTAATTTTATTCGTTGCTTGCAAAACAGTCGATTTTAAAGAGGCTGTTTCAAAGCGATACGGATGAAGCCATGGATGGTAATTTTTAAAAGTGTGTCTGCGAAAAGTGTATTTCTATCAGTTGAGATATCTAGGAATCATAAACCTGACTTTTATAACTAACTTTTGACTGTTATACTTTTTATGAAATTATTTTATTTTTCTTCTGTTACGCTCGCCGTATTCTATCCATAATCTGAATCAATTTTCTGAATCACATTTGAAAGTTCCACAACATTTTTTTCTGAAATGAACTTGATTGGGCAGATAACATTGAAGCGGTTCTGTTATTAACTTACAACTGATATTCTGAGATCATTGAAATATTGGAAACCCACGCATAGGAAGAGTTAAAATTTACGTAAGTCATACTTGTCTTCTCTTGGTCCACTTAAGTCCTTCAAAATATTAATTTAGTGTTGCTGGATTTTGTACAACAACGAGACTGGGTTCAATTGCTTAGCGTATTCATGACTGCAAATGATATTCAGCATGACAAATTTTGGGCTTGCAATTGTGGTATTTGAACAATTCCATTGCGCAAAGCACGAATGTGTACCAGCATGATGTGATTGTTCAAAAGTGCTTTTCAATCGACATGACCTTGTCGCACTGGGATAAGAAGTCCCCATGTTGCACTGTGTGTTGATGTTGTCAGGAAGCTGCCATTGGTTGGATTGGCTCTCATGTATGCACGTGAAATGGTTTTTATGAATAAAATGATCAAATTTTGTTGAACGCTTACATGCTTGTTATTTCAAACTCACATGTAAGTAATTCCATACCTTGTTCATTCAATACATAAAAAAACACATAAAAATGGCCGTAAAATACAGTAAAAATTATAAGTGGAGACGTGATCACTTCGGTTTGACCAAGTATGCACGCTTTAGCAAAACCATATCCGGTCTCAATCCCGGCATAATAACGGGGGAAGTGAGTAATGAAATGAAGTGTTTCAACTGTTAATTAAAACACAATATTTCATCTGGTTTAGTCCTGCATTTTAAATGATATACAAGTTTAGTTCGAGCCTTTTTTGCGCGTTTCAGCTTACACATTCCAAATCCGCCAATCTAGAAAAAAAAAATGCATTCATTATAATTCATCAACCATCTGATGGTGGAGGGTTCTTTTCGATCCGGCAGTGGTGCCAGGAATTTTGGTTTTCTTCCGAAAAACATTATCCTGCCCAGAGGAAAAATCAGACTTTTCCCGGACTTTGGCTATGGCGATCAATCTGGGTTTTTTTTTCATACGCTCTTCTTTTTTCTTGACAAAAATTAATTGTTTGCTTTCAATGTCTCTTTCCATTGTCTTGATTCGGTTAGAAAAATAACTAGTTCGTATGGGTGCCACGCTAATTTTCAAAATGGCTAAAAATTGATCAATGCGGATGTGACGGATTCATTGTCCACAACCAACGCAACGACGGCTGATATATTTAAAAAAAAATCGGTCCACTGCGGGAATTACTGCTGGTAATGTGCATCTGAGAAAGTCATCACCGCTCTGAAGGGAAAAACGGCAACAGCTAAGCATCACCCGCGCCAGGAACCATCAGAGTGAGGGCAGATCGCGTGAGCTTCACCAACCTTTTGGCCAGACTGATATAACAACTTCCGCCTTCCTTCCTGGTGGCTGCGAGGAAATGGTCATCCAAAACACCGACTCCCTTCATGAGCCGAGAGTCACGCTTTCAGCCCCCTTCGCGAATTGCTTATTCTTGCCGAAGTGGGTATCATCAACCTCAACTTCGCTCGGTGTTGCCCCCATGTTTGAGTCTTTCATGAGCTCGTGATCACTGTTGAAACCCCGTCTGAATTTTTCTTATCCAGCTGGAAACTGAAAACTTTCATACCGAATCAAAGACGAGCTCATGTAACTGCGAGCAGACACGATGATTAAAGAAACGATTACGAACTTTCTGCTACGATGAACGAGTGCGTACGTTCTGTTAACTCCGGATTTTTTTTCTTGACTTTTCAAAAATTCGACACCAATTCAATCATCTTCAGTTAATTTTTCCAAGCATCGAAACCAGATTTTAATGAGTAATGCCCTTGGAACAGCATGCTTGAGCGAATTTTATTCCATGGAAATCACTACAGGTATTGTATTGCACCAACCGAATTTACATGACTACTATACGCGCAAAGGAACAAAAAGGACGGTGCGTGAGATAGGTGGGCCCCAAATTTTCCAAATTTCAAAAAATTAGGTGAATGCCATAGGCACATATTTTAAATTTTAGCCAGTTTGCAAGAGACCCATTTCTTCATAAGAATTATAAAAGCTAAAATATGGCAGATGAGAGGATACAAAAATTAAAAATGAATTGCTTCAATATAGGAATGAATTGCATTTTTATGTAGCTTATCCTGGCAATATTGTCATTTTCCAGATACTCAAAAGTTGAATGTCAATCTGCATCCGCTTGAAGATTGAAGTGCCGTCTTATTTGAGGGTGCATGAGGCTTGAGTAAATATGGCATTATTGACCAACACAGTCATCCGAAAACATTTGGAACTACCTGTCCTCCAATTTTGGCGGTTTTCGTCACCCTAATTATAATTATTTTAAAAATTGAAGGGAGTGATAACGGAACTTTTCCCATTTCGGCATTTTCATCACGAAAATGCTTTCGAACTGGTCCCGCGTATTTGTTGCCTCGTCACTGGTAATGCACACGTGCAAAATATTTGAACCAGAAGGCAATTGATAGTCAGAAAGCACAGTTACCAGATTGTTCAAATACAAACAGGATCATTTACAGCATTTCACGTCGGATGCAAGTGCGCAAATAATGAGCACAAAAATGACTTCGCTTTTGGCAAAGGAAGGAAAAGACTAGAATGTTTCAAATTTGCTGTCGTCTTACTTCGTAAAGAAACACAATACCAAATTTTTAAAACGTTCGACTGTTCATTCAAGATTTTTTTTAACGATCGCGTGATACGGCATACGTTGGTGATTTCCGCTGATGTTCTGAAACGTTGAGGTTTCATGCTGTGCAACAGAAGCAGTGGGCGGATGTAATACGAGGTGGCTTCGTGGACGTCGAGGAATTCCAAGCAGGCATGCAAGTGAACAGAAAAAAAACAGCTTTCCTTTTCGAGAAAAGACATCTGCGTAGGGAGTTTGCATAGAAAATGCCACGAATGAGGGAAATACGATTGCTCAAGTCTGCCCTTTATGAGGAAGCTGTGAAACACGATGGTGCGTGCCTTGAACGGCCTCATGCCGAGTTGTTCTCTGGTACGCTTTTCATATTGCATATAATGTGACAGCCCGCAGCTGCAACTTCCACGCAGAAATCCGTACCAAAACCCGGTTCCCCTTTTTTTGTGGTCTTCCACCCGCACCGATTGATTCGTGATCATGATAAGCTTCCGCTGCTTCCGATCGTCGGAAGTTGTGACAGCTTATTTCCTTTCACTTAAACTACATGTCATCTGGATCACCTCGTCTATATTCGAGTGAACTGCACTCATGGTAAGAAAACAGGGTAACTTATGTTCGACACACGGAACCAAGCGCCTCAGGTTCAATATTTTCAAGCGCCCAGTCATTAGCCCCACTAATTGGATGTATCAATCATGTGAGTTGTTTCGAACACATTGGTCGGACTCGGAAAAATGAAAATTATGTTTTGAGGGATGACTGACGATTTTTCAACGCGTTGAGGCTTTGGCTCATTTTTTTTAGCCAAGAAATTAAAATTCAGACGGCTGAGTTTTTTATATAAGCTGGAGCCGTAGCTCACGTAATTAAAAATTGATCAATGGGCCCGATGAATAGAAAAGGAGGATAATTAGCTGCCCCATCGGGACAAAAGCAGGAGATTCGGAATGAGCATTCTCGGTTCGCTGGCAGCAAGAGCCCGCAGGAGACCATTGAGTCCCATCATGCGCAGCGGAACGCGTACCTGATTTTTTAATAATGGGCACCAATATGAAGTGAAATTCTCATTCACTCAGCTGAAAGCGCACCGGGCATTTAATGAACACACACGCCTATTTTCGCTGTTCACAGGAGGAAAAACGTGGAAACGCCAAGAGCACGCGGTATGAAGAGAAGTCTGTCCGTGTTGCGAAAGACGGGTAATAAGCGCGGCGGAGTGAATGAAGTGCTCAGCAATTTGTCCCTTCGGCTCCGCCGCGACATGTTTGGGTCCAGTGAGGCGCAAAATGGGATTGACAGCGTTGGCATCAAAATAAGCGGATTACAACCCCATAACTGAAGCTCGACAGGGCATAGTTCGGTAGCAGGCGAGGATCCGCGCCAAGCGGCTGCCACGCCGGCAATTTTATTTGCATGCCGTGTCCGCGTGAAAAATCCGACTGCGACGAATCCCCGCCGCGACTCACCCCCGGTATCCCGAGAAAAAATGCGCCCCGTGCATAT